GCAACATATGCTTGAAGTGCTTTAGTAGGATTTTCATCTTGCAGAATAAGACAAGTATCAGTAGGATGATCAGGAGAAGTACAAATACCATATAATCTTGTTGTTTAGTTTTGATGAGCTACTTGAGCTTTACCTACACCTGTCAATTGTTTCTCTAACTCCTTCAGCTCATGCATTCTATTTTCGAAGGCTTTGTCGGAATGAGTAACGTGAGAAGAGACGTGAATCTCATTCACACCTTTTGTTTGAACAAAATTTTCTCTCGTAGTGAACTGTTGGGAGTTAAACGACATGTTCTCAATCAAAGCCTTGGTAGCGGCTGGAGTTTTATTGACAAGTGCTCCATCACTAGCAACATCTAGAATATTCTTATCCATTGGTTTTAAGCCTTCGTAGAAATACTGAATCAATAATTGCTCGGTGATATGGTGTTGTGGGTAACTTGAAACCAATTGTTTGAATGTCCCCCAATATTCAGCCAACGATTCATTATCCCGTTGTCTAATACCACAAATTTCCTTTCGTATCGAGGCCGCTCTGGATGCAGGAAAATATCTCTCTAGGAATACCTTCTTCAGATTATTCCAAGTAGCAACAGAATTCGGCTCAAGATAATATAACCAGTCCTTGGCTGCACCTTGTAGAGAAAACGGGAAAGCTCTTAGCTTGATATGGTCTTCCGTAATTCCTTCAGGCCTGAGTGAGGTTGAACAAACAATCTGGAATTCTTTGAGATGCTTGTGTGGATCCTCACCTGCAAGACCGCTAAATCTAGGCAACAAATGTATTAGTCCAGATTTTAACTCAAAAGGGACAACAAAGTCAGTATATTCAATACATAATCCATTATAGTTAATATCGGGGGCAACAAGCTCCCCTAGGGTCTGTTGTTCAGCCATGGTGAACAAAGGATCAGAATAAAAAACGACAAGAGATGGTGAACTAGGGCCGGCCTGATTATCTATAAGGCGTGCACGCAAGGTCCTCTCAATCTCAGGGTCGAAATCAGCCAGGTCAGTACAGAAAACTCTTGTGGCCAGGATTACCAATGCAACAACAAATCTGATAATTCCCACAATGTCCCTATAGGTCAGAATTAAAATCAAAGAAGGAAGATGGTTAAAATAAAATTGAAAAAATCTAAAAACATAAAATTTAACCTAATTAGGTCAAATGAGAATTTTGGATTTTTTTTTGGATTTTTTGAAGACTATGAAAACAATAAAAAATTAATTAAAAATAGAAAAAAGAGGAATTTGGCGATTCAAGGGGCCAACTCCCATAACTCTTCTAGAGTAAGAGACTTTTGATCGCACGATTTTTCTGCTTCAAGTGTACGAAACAGATCTAAGAAAGGAGGCGATTTGCCCAAAACCGGGTTTTTTTTCCGACTAGGTCTGACGAGAAGCGGGCGAAACGGGACGACCGGACGCGAAAACGCAAGAAAATACAGAAAAATGCAGAAAATTAAAACAAACAAAACCTAAAACTAGACTATTGGCTAAATCGACAAGAATCCCCGGCAACTGCGCCAATTTGATCCGCTGTCGCGCGCGGATCAAAAGCGAGTAGTTTGAAAAACGGTAGTTTAGTGACAATGACTCGAGTATCGTATCGCAAGGATTCTTGTAGTAATTAACCAATTACAGTAATGAAATATGGGGGGGGGGGTTCGGTTTGGATTAAGAAAAAAGTGATTAAAAATAAAAAAGTGATTAAAATTATAAGTTGAAACAGTTAATCTGCTGTTTCAGTTTCCCAACTTATCATCGATCCAATTAATTCCCAATTCCTAAGAGGATTCTATATCCTTCATGATTATAATAACAATCAAACAAGAGCAATTGTTATTATACGACACATATTCTTAATTTCCGAATTAAGCAAACAGATTAGATACAGTAACCGTGAATTAAGCAAACACGGGAACATACATGAATTAAGCAAACGCGACTAAAGCATAAGAACATGAAATCATTGAAATAAATCAATCACCCATAAGATAAATCGAGTTAAGAAAACAAGATATCACAGAGAGAAGAATTGAAAGGAAATAGTTTTTATTGGAAATTAACGGAACCTCAAAGTGTCGGCGGAAATCGATTACAACAGATTAACCTAAAGAAGTTAGTTCTCCATTACAATTGTAAAAAGCAAAAAAATTTTGGAATAAAACTAGGGTAGCCATTTTGCATTACACACTCAACTGGGTCGGAAACCTAAACCAGACCCAAAAGGAAAAAACAACTACATTATCACAAGTCATAAACTTCAATGAATTATTCGAGACTCAAGCAGTCCGAATCAGCTTCTTCGTACAACATGAAAGTTGTAGATCTTTTCCTTAGCTTTCCAACAACTGGTAGAATGCCTCGATCCGATTTCTGTAGCTCCAGTTATGAATTTTTTATTAAAAAACGGCTAATGCTGAAAAATAACAAACGAAAATCAAATAAAGTTGAAAAAAAATTAAATTATAAAAACATCATAAAATAGGAAATTAAACAAACTAAGCTATACAAATGTCTAAGTCTAAACATAGAGGAAAGTGCACTTAAATGCACTGATCAGGACCCAACTTAAAATCTCGCCTAAAGGACCCGACTTAAAGTTTCGAATGAGTGACTCTACTATTAACTTCTACTTGAAGGTGTCAACTTAGGAGATATTCTGATGCAAATTCAATTAAACACTTCGTCTTTTACCAAGCCTTCGTGCTTGAGGAGCTGTGTAGTGATATATTTTTACTAGGTCCTTAGAGGGGACCACTTACGTAAAAGTGATGAAGGCCAACACATGAGAGAGAGAGAGAGAGGAATGTTTTTCAACACATGTGAGGAAGGCTAACACATGAGTGAGTTTTGAAAAGTCTCGAGTTTGGTGACTTTTCATTACCTTTTTGATGAGTTTAAGAGTCAGATTTGTTACATTAGAATTTCTTTTGAGTTGTTTCGAGTTGAAGATCAAAATAAAAGATACACTTGAGTTTTTAAATAATTTATAATAATATTATTGAGTTAAGTTGAGGTTTAAGTAAGTTGACAGGTTCATAGTTGTTTTGATATGGCTAGATTTATCTTGAGTATTTGTTGATTTACCCTGCTGGTGGCTTTACATGAGTAATAATGTGGTTTATTCTGTTGGTGAGTGTTATTGAGATGATATGTTAATAATTTTGCTATGTTGATGAGTATTTTGGAATATTATATGATTATGTGATTGAGTTATAATTTTATCATATTTTGACTTGAGTAGTTCAGAGAGAACTACCGTGTTGGTCTTACATTAATAAATTTGTGTGTTCAGAGAGAACCTTGTTGAGTACAAGATGTGATTATTATTTTTTGTTGAGTATGCGATGTGAATATTATTGTTATGACTCATGCATTCATGTATATCAAAGATAGGTAAGACTTCGGTCTGATGAGGTCACAATTCAGAGAGAATCAATGACGATATCATGTTCAGAGAGAACATTGTTCTAGAGAGGAACCAGAGATGTGGATAATTCATTAACATACCTCTGACATCTAAAATCTTGGTACCACATGCATATTGGAGGAGAAATGCATTACATCATACATTTGCATCGTAATTATTGTCGTTATTGTGAACCTTTGTGAGAGAATGATAATTGATGTTATATATGACTATCTTTGCTTTTTAATGCACCGCTATCATCTGTAAAGTTATTTTCACCCTTGTTTATTTTTGTGTGTGTTCGATACTCTATTTTAGTATAAATAATCAGTTGAGCTAGAGGAGGGCGTTGAAGTCTCTTCATTTGTTTGCTGTTTTCGAATTATTTAGTTTTGTTGGTGCTCTGATGTATAACACTAGGTTGAGACATTTTAATCGATTTTTTTTGAGTTGCTGTTGGATTATTTAATTAATTAAGTGTTTTATTTTATTGAGATATTATAAAGCATGTCGAAGTTGAGTTCTGCTGCTATATTATATTTTATTTGAACGAGTATGGTTTGTTGAGTATGCGTAACACCTGTTTTTGAATTATTTATCTTTTTTTAAATAAAGAGACGGGAGTGTAAGATGTTTCACGAGGTAGACATAATAGGGAGTGCAAGGCTAAAACCTAGTCTTCTCGTGAAAAATGCAGACAAAATGAACATTTTTGACATCCGTTTTATCACTCATAATAATTTGTATCATTAATTATATAAATATTAGTTATTTAATATTATTTTAATATGATTGAAAAATGCTCCACTTATCTCAATCTATTTTTTATTAGTTTTATTGGTGAAATTATATTAAGATTTTATTTTAATAATTTATGAATTATATAGTTGATAAATATCCGATTACAAATATGCAACCTCAAATGTACTTATAAATATATACATATCTATTTGTTAATTCCATAAAAAAAAAGATTGTAATTTATTCTCTTTCATGTTTCTTGCTGAACTGTACAATTTCCAAATTCTCTCTTTTTTTTTTAAATTATGTATCTTAAATTTTTTTCAAGCATGTATTCTGAACATGTCCCATTTATAAATTATAAGTATGTTAGTCAGTAATATCCAATTATAAGTAATATAACTGTTTCTTTTTTCTCTTTTCATCGCATTTCTCTTTTATTTCTTCCATCAAGAGAGAAGAAATAAAAAGGTGGTATGACCCAAGTATTTTTATTTTCTCTTCACAAATTCTCTCTTATCCAATCAAGAAAACTGTAGTACTTTTCTTCTCTTTCTTTCTCCACTAACTCTTTCTTTTCTAACTCTCTCAAAACAAGCGCACCCTGAAAAGGGAAAGAAAATAAAAATGTGAATAAGCCTATGATATATATTCCAAAATGTTTGGCGCGGCGCTCAATTTCACGCCACGAATAATTTATATATTATCTCCTCCCTGTTCAATTCTTCAACCATTATATTAAACAAATTACTCATACTATAATATTGCACAATAATCTTTATATATTATTAAAACAATGGATTAATAAAAAATGGAAGAGAAGCTCCAAAATCATTGTAATGTCGCAAACACGTTCTAATTCCGACACGCAATTAACTATCCCCGAACGCGTTTTATCCGCCGCCGGCGCCGCTTTCCTTTCCGCCGTCATCGTCAACCCCCTCGATGTCGTCAAGGTACCCTAATTCCCCATTCAACCACCATCAATTCATGTTCAAATCTTCAAATGATTTCATCAATTTCTTTCTTTTCAGACGAGACTTCAAGCGCAGGCTGCCGGAATTCCCTACCATGACGCTTATCGAAAGCCGTCTTTTCAAACTAACACGGTAATGCTTCTTTCTCAGCTTGTCTTCCTTTTTTTAGTTATGATTTTTGTTAATTATGTTTGTTTATTTTCAGATGCCACAGGATGTTAAATGTACAAGGGTTTCAAAATCTCAGGCACTACCATATAAAGGGACACTAGATGTACTCTACAGAGTTATTCGTCAGGTTAGTGCTTTGTGTTTGTCGTGTTTTCATGTGTTACTATCTCCGGTTCTATTTATAAGAGAAAATTTACTTTTTAGATTCATTCAATAATCAATGTATCTGGACTGTATCATACACCAAAATCAATGAATTTAAAAATCAACTAGGTAGTTGGAAGATTGACTTGGTAGTTGAGTAAGAGTTTAAGCAGTAGAGTGATAAGGAGTTGGAAGATTTGAAGATACATTAATTAAAAACATAATGTGAGGGCATTCTTGGTGCCCCGACCCTGGGGAGCCTCGGAGACTAACTCACCTAAACTTTTTGTAACAAAAAGAAGTATATAAATGTCCTTTATGTGCCCATGTGGTTGTTGAGTTCAATTCAACTGAACAAACGTGTGTAAATGATAAAAGAAAGTTGTTTCAACAAATAGTCAGATCAGACCCAACTAGTTGATCCCTGCGGGTGTCAAATGGAGGAAATCTTACTTTTATCTATTATTTGAATAGTCAGAACACATGTGAGCAGCAATAAATGCCTTTGGAGTTCTGGATGCAGTCATATACTTATACCATGATATATAAGAATCAAATCATCTATCTCTTTCTTTCATATAGTCGGTAGATAAACATGTTTATAGGCCAAATTTAAAAGCATCAACAGATTCCTTTCCTACTCGTAGTTCATGATCTGAATAACAGAATAACAGATTTCTTAACTGTAAACAGAAGTCTGTGAGACAACCTAACAGAAAAGGGAATCTTCCTGATTCAATAGTGTTTGACATTTTCAAACTGCAATAAAAGTTGATTAGGGAATCTTCTAGAATGCACTGGTTCAATAGTGTTTGAGAGAGTGAAAAATGATCCAGCTATGTTTACATGAATTCTGGAAGAGAATGAGTGGCTGAGTGGGTTTGGAGATATGGAAAGGGATAGATATTTTGGATATTTGAATTTATTCCTCGTTATAAATATATCTGAGCTAATATGGATCTGTTTAGAATTTTAAAACTAGTTTTGGTTTTTTTTTAATATATTAGGCAGTTTGGTTTTTTAACACCCATAATAAAAGGGAACATGTAGGGTAAGTAGAAATTGTTCAAGCATTCATTGTTTGAGTGTACTTTTGTTCCCAGTTACTTTTTCCCTTCAACATGCTAATTACTTATACTTACTCTAAGAGGTTTCACAGGAGTGAATTTATGCAGGAAGGATTTACCAGATTGTGGAGAGGCACAAATGCTAGTTTGGCATTGGCCATGCCAAGTGTAAGCTATCTTTTATGTCTTGAATTTTCTCATTTGTGCTTTATGGTTTTCTTTAAGGAAATGATGATACTGTTCATTTTGGTTCTCCAATATTGTATGTTCATCTCACTTGTAGTAATATACAATATACTAATGGTCTGGGTGTATTTCCTGTCAAATAGGTAGGGATTTATATGCCTTGTTATGATATCTTCCGCAACTTTATGGAGGATTATACAACTCAAAATGCCCCAAATTTAACGCCTTATGTTCCGTTAGTAGCAGGATCACTTGCACGCTCGTTGGCTTGCATTTCTTGTTATCCTGTAGAACTTGCAAGGACTCGCATGCAGGTACAAATAATTCTATGCTAAAACTTAGATGCGTTAGCATAATTTGTCAAGACTTAAAGAGAGAAAATTGACTGGACATTATCTAAGATATACTTGGCATTGTACAAACTACAAAAACATTTTACAATTTTAAGAGTATAGACTAAATTATTTAGATTCTATAATTGCGATACTAAAATTAAGAAAAAATAGAGCACATCCTATTATATGAAAATTTGATAAAATGTACGACTGAATAGATAAGAGAATGTCTATATCTATATATAAAGATACACACACACAAATAAAAGTAAATAGAGGAAAATTGTTGTGTGCCTGTATCACCACAACTTACAGAATATATGCGAAACAGATAAAGATGCACAAATACTAAAAAAGTATTGTATTATTCATGTAAATAGAAGATAACTGCAGAAGGATGGATATCCTAATTCCCAAAGAACCAAGCTCCTACAGAGAACAATGTTTTCTGTCCATAACTACACAAATGATTTCCCAAAGATACCACTACTCTATCCTTAAACCCCTATATAACAAACTCAACCCCTTTCTCTTTTTTCTCTCCTGTAATATAACTAACTATCGTTTCTCTTATAGGCCTGGGACAATCGGGCCTAACACATACATATCTGGTACCTAGCAATACCATCCCTTGAAATTTGCCTTGTCCTCAAGGCAGATAAAAAGAATTTGCTCTCTGATAGCTGCTGCCACATCACAACCTGTAGAATAAAAAGGAGATTTCAGCTGCTTGATAAATTCAGCTTTTCTACTAGTGGCTTCCTCTCTTGTTGGTGATGAGACATTTGTACACTGACTCATAGTATTGAATCCTTGTGTGGCTTGGCCATGAACAACTTCCAGAGATCCTTACATGACCAACACAATAAAAATTGCAACAACAAGGCCAAGGACGAGCTGTTACTGCCATTCAAACTCCGTGATTTAAAAATCCGCTGCTGCCCCATAAAGACATTCTTCCATGGTGGGTTTGGGAAAACACATGAATGGTGGAGGATATGGAACCAACTCCAAACAAATTCTTTTCGGCTGAGTTAAAAATTGACCAATAGCATTTCTTCTAAAACTTTTGAACCGTCAACACTATTTCAATCACATTGTATTTGGATGGCTGCCTATAATTACTTTCTTCTACTTTAGAGGAATTGATCCATCATCAATCACAATCCAGCCAGAGAAAACAACATACTGATTTGAAGTTCCTAATATGTCTAAACTTTTATCCCCCCTTGTCATTATGGCAGTATCATGTGTCAATTAACACAAATTAAGAAGATAAACATGTTTCAAATTAATAACCATATTTGTTGATGCTGAATAGAGAACATGTGAGGGTTCCTTAACAATTATCACAGTGAAAAATTCCTCCCACAATACCCATTACTTCACTTTTATGTTCTTCTCTGACAGATGGGTGTATTTCCTCCTCAATATCAAGTAATATGTTGGCCAATGATTTTGCTCTTTGACTATTAGAGGAATGCATATTGTTAACAGTCTTAACAATGTTAGGTGTCCTGTCTGCATCTCTGTGACTTCTCCAGGAAGTGAGACTCTACATTTATAAGAATAAGTTCTGGCGCCTTTTCATCGGGTTCCTAAAGAACGTCATTTGCAGTTTGACCAGAACTAACAAATGTTTCACTTGTAGCAACATGTAATGATTTAATACTTTCATACCGGGATATCACCGTATTAGAAAAGCTCATTGAGGACATACCTTCCCTGATAATTGTCAATTGTCCTTGTATCCTCGTAAGTCTTCTTATTCTTTTCCTTGCTGGTCTTCAGTTTTACAATCCATGATGCTCCTCTTCCCAAAAATTCTATGAATTCCTTCCTGAGACTCCTCTGCACTCCATTTGAGAAAATAAGAGAGCTCATCCCCCTCCGTTTATGATTAATATTTGAAGTTGTTAAGAGTCCCACATCGGTCAATACATGGCCTGAAGTTGTGTTTATAAGTGGGGGCAATCCTCACCTTACAAGCCAGTTTTATAAGATCGAGTTAGACCCAACTACCATATGTCCAGTCTTGGATGTGAGTGGCTGTTTTAGGAGTCTCACATCGGTCAATATATTAAGGTTGAGTTTGTTCTAAGAGAAGTGATTTGGGGCAATATTGCTTAGCAGAAATCGAACCTCCCCGTCTCTTTTCCACGAGCTATGCATTTTGGGAGTGAGTGTGAAAAACAACTCCACACATAACCATTTTTCTCTTTTATGATATGCACCCGCACTGCATTTTGCGAGTAAGAAAAACAACTCCACACATAACCACTTTTCTCTTTTATGATATGCACCCACATACATCATTCTCTTTGGTGGTAAAAATAGCATCCCACTTGTCAAATCTCATCCGTCAAATCTCATCTGGGTGTGAGCCGCTTCACAATCTGAATTTGAAGTGTTTGAAGTGGCGGTGTTGTGGATTGTAACAACAGAGGATTGAGTGATCCCACAAAAGGTGGCCTCTGCTTCAGTTGACATTTTCTCTTATCATACACGAACTCTCCTGGTGTTGCGTTCATGTTTTTCGAAAAATTCGACTTCAAACCCAAACACATGGAATGTGTTGTGTGGCCATAATCATACTCATTTTAGAAATATTGACGAGAAAGTTGGGTGGAAAGTTTTGCTTTGTGTGCCTCTTTTATAGATTCTGAATGGTTTCCCTTGGTTACACATCCAAATGGAATTGAGCCCAGTAGTGATATGTCATCATCTAATTGGACCAGGCCTATTATGTCTAAGTTTGGACCTCACCTACTTAATGACAAATTTTCCCTTCTATCTCCCTCTTTCATTCGGGTTGGATCTTCTATGACACAAACCCATTGTACCTCCTTCTGCAGTGACGTCATTGTTACTACACGGTTGAGGAGGGATTGTCGCACCTTGGTCTCCGACCAGTATCGGCGCATCTGTCTGCTTGGGTGGTGGATCCGGCCGTGGAAAAGTCACAGTGAGTCGTCCAATATCCAGCAGTTCGGATGGCTTTTGCTGTCCTAAGAGTAATGATGCTTGGACAACCACTTTTGGGTTAGAGCCAAGCGGCTTTTGTGGTGTTGGACTTGGAACCATCGTCGAGCCAGATGCTGTTTGAAGAAAACACTGCCGTGCCCGAAATATTCAAGGCGAAGGAATCGATTATGTCAATATCAGACGTTGACCTATCATTATTGGAGCAGCAGTCACTCACCTACACCCTCGTTTTGCAAGACTTTTGGTCGTTGTTGGATTCATCTTCTCCGATCGTGCCTTCCATCTTCGGATCCACCTTTTGGGGTCATTGATGGAGCTCTTCCAACAATTTTCCATGTAGTTTCCTCCAGCTTGATGCAATACAAACCTCCATCGGTGAGCTATTTTCAGATGCTTCAATCTTCCTCTCACACTCCTCAGTTTTCCTTTCACTCAGATCCTTTTTGGATAACAATGCAGTCAATTGATCGTGATTTTCTTTTTGTTGGATCTGCAGGTCTCTCAAAATCTTTTGAATGTTGGTCATGTGATCTCCTAGTGTCTAATTTCTCTTCCATCTGTTGATTTTCATCTCGCTAAAGCACTGATCCCGTCACAAATCCGGTAGGTCGGACCATTGTTGCATGCCCGTATCACCGCAACTTATAGAAAATAGACGAAACAGATAAAAATACACAAATACTTAAAAAGCAGTGTATTATTCATGTACATGAAAGATAACTGCATAAGAATGAGTATCCTAATGCCCACAGAGCCAACCTCCTAAAGAAAACAATATCCTCTATCCATAATACATAGATGATTTCCCAAAGATACAACTTCTCTATCCTTCAAGCCATATATAACAAACTTAACCCATTCTCTTTTTCTCTCTACTGTAACTAACTATTGTTTCTCTAATAGGCCTAGGACAATTGGGCGTATACATACATATCTCGTACCTAACAAAAATCTTCCTATACTAATACAACACTTCGATTTCTTTATAAGCACTTAGCTAGAGAAAGTTATGTTCTATAGTTTTTCCAGATTAAATTATTGACATTATGTATCTGACATATTTTCTTCTGTTCTTAGGCATTTAGAGTAACACGAGATGGAAAACTTCCAGGTGTGTGGAAGACATTATTTGGAGTGATCAATCCAGACAAGGGAACAAATATTCTTCAAAACTGTAAATATATTCCTTGCATCTCTATCTGATTTATGTATCTCTGCTTTCCTTCTGAGTTAAAACAAGTTTGAGTTTACTTTTGTTACATTGTATGATTACTGTGTTCTTTTGGTTTCCTCAATTAGTAAATACTTTGATTAATTTTTTAAAATAGTACACAGGTACCGTTTCTGGTGGACAGGGCTTGGAGCACAGCTTTCTAGGGATGTTCCATACTCGGCGATTTGTTGGGCAACTCTTGAGCCAGTAAGATTTTATTATAGTTAATTATGAAATGAATAAGTTATTTTGTTCTTTTTTTTGGTTGGGATATTTCTTAGTGCATGTATTGATTTGGATTTGCTTGCAGATAAGGAAAAAAATTCTTGGACTTATGGGTGAAAAGCCAAGTGCCGCAACTGTCCTTGGGGCAAATTTTTCTGCTGGTTTTGTAGCAGGAACTTTAGCATCTGCTGCCACATGTCCACTGGATGTGGTAAAAACCCGAAGACAGATAGAGGTTAGACGCAGAACCTTGCTTTAGTGATAATTTTATGTGCATTTCACTTACCTTATTTCCTGAGAAGCAAATTTGCCACACAATAAAATGGAAAGTTAGCCGTTGACATAAGTCAAATTTACCACAATTTTATTCTGTTTTGATCCTTAAAACCGGTAGAGCTAGGCCTATGACATCAGAATATTTGTTCATGAATACAAATAATACATGCACTCAACTTTTTGGGGATATTAGGCTTTAACATATGTCTGGGCTTCAAATTGAGAGAAAAATTGTGCACACTATAAATGCAGTTAGGATTATTGTCCATTGCTAAACTTTCATATGTATAAATATTTGGTTCATCAACATATCAACTTGCAGAGTTGCCTTATATAATCTTACTACATATTTGGAGGATATTATGCATGAATTTGTGACATTAGATTTCAAATTGAATGAAAAATTCTGCAGAAGTCTGATATAGTTAAAATTGGGCATTGCTAAAATGTCATAGGGTTAGTTCATTATACAGATCAAAAGCAGAGTTGCATAATTTGCCATTAGTAAGTTTAAACTTTGAAACATGGTGGGACAGTGTTCCTTAAACGGGAATACTTTATTTCCAATGTGTAAGTACGCTGCTCTATCATTAAAGTTTATCTGGAGAATCATGTACATATAGTTAATTTTCACAAGTACATAGTCGATGATTTCCGTTTGCTAAAAAAATGGTATATTTTTCATATTCACAGAAAGATCCTGAAAGGGCATTAAAGATGACTACAAGAACTACATTGCTTGAAATTTGGAGGTATGTCATAATTTTTAAACTGATATTGATTTGATATAATTTGATTTCTTGAGCAAAATTAAGCAGGTCATTTGGGGCACAGATTTTGGATTGACTTTGAGCTCTTCACTTTTTCTTGGGACAGGGATGGAGGATTAAGGGGGTTATTTACCGGAGTTGCTCCCCGTGTAGGTCGTGCTGGTCCATCTGTTGGCATAGTTGTCTCCTTTTACGAAGTTGTCAAGTATGCTTTAAATCATAGATATTCAACTTCATCATAGAATGCACTTCACTTACCTTATTTCGCGCTGGTCCGTCTGTTGGCATAGTTAACTCCTTTTACGAAGTTGTCAAGAATGCTTAAAAAGTTAGCTTAATAATTGATTGCATCAAAGACACTAACTAGTCTCAGCCTCAGCCTCAGAATACGTTCCTGACATCGCAAGAAGTCAGAACTCAAGATGATGATGACATTCATAAGTAACAACCCAGTAACCATCTTCTTCATGCCTAATTTCCCTTTGAATAGGCAAGTGTTCAATTTGCATCATTACACTTGCAACCTTATAAGTTAACAAGAAGGTGATTTCCCTTGTACTGAGAAAATAGGTCATTTATTTATTTTGGTAAAAAATATAGAAATTCATTCTTAGGATTATGTAATAAATTTTGTTACTTTTTATAAAATAAATTTCTTTTATCTTTGATATTATTAACTATTTATTATCTTTTTTTTAGATTTTTTTTTTCTTTCTATAATAAATAGTTAAGGCTATGTTTGAATTGATGGAAATGGATGGGATGAAATGGAATGGAGTGGAGTTATGTTCCATTGTTTGGATTTATAAAAATTGAACGAAATGAAATGGAGTATGATGGAACACAGGAAATTTTACCTAATACCCCTGCATTTATACCCATACCCCTACATTTTTAAAAAAGTACCCATTTTATCCTTATATATTTTAATATTTTATTATTTTTTTTACTTTTTATATTTTTCAGTCTTCTGAAAAATTCATCCCACGATCTATCGGAACACTTTGGAAATGACTTCTGGTAGGCATTTTTCCTCAAATCGGAAGACTTGGACAAAGAGTTCCGGTTCACAAAAATAATGTACCAGAAGACTTCAGAAAAGACTTCTGGTTTGTTAAATTTCGTGAATGTTCACCGGAAGACTTGTAAAAAGTTTTCCGGTTTGTTTTTTAGCTACCGGAACACTTGCTACAAGTCTTCCGATTTGTTTTTTAGCTACCGGAACACTTGTATCAAGTGTTCCGGTTTGAGTTTTTTTTTTGTTTGAATTTTTTAATTTTTTTTGAATTTTTTTATGTAATTATTTCAGAAATTCCTTTACAAATATGCGATAAAGATCCGATATCCGTAGATACGTCTGATGTTTTTTCAACAACTCAGAGATTTGGTACACGAGAAGAGGTTTCAGACATTCCTTTACAAATATGCGATAAAGATCCGATATCCGTAGATACGTCTGATGTTTTTTCAACAACTCAAAGATTTGGTACACGAGAAGAGGTAATAAGATGGATTAAAGAGATCGGAATCCGAAATAAAATTACAGTTATCATCACTCGTTCAGATATTAAAACAAGCAAGAGAGCAAGAAGTAACAAATTAATATTTGGATGTGATAAAGGAGGAAAACACAAAGATATTGGTAGTGGAACCCAGAGTGCGACGAAAAAATGTGGATGTCCATTTAGAATCAAATCAATTCCAGCGGCTGATGGATCTGGATGGAAGATTGATGTAAAATGTGGAGTTCATAACCATGGTTTACCTGATAGATTAGAAGGTCATGCATTTGTCGGTAGGTTGACAGCTGATCAGAAGCAACATGTTGTTGATTTGACAAAGAGAAAGGTTTCACCTAAACATATATTGCTTTCATTGCAAGAGCAAGATCCAGATAATGTCACTCGGATCACGCAAATATACAAACAGAAGAGTATGATAGAAAAAAATATAAGAGGTCCTAGAAGTGAGATACAACATTTGTTTAAGCTTATTGAGGAAGCAGGTTATGTTTATTGGAGTAGAAAAAGAGACGACTCTGAAGTAATTAGAGATATCTTTTGGGCTCATCCAGATTCAGTTAAGTTGTTGAATATTTTTCCTATTGTGCTAGTTATGGACAACACTTACAAGACAAACAAATATAGGCAACCTCTGTTTGAAATAGTTGGCATGACATCAACCGGGTTGACTTTTGCTGTCGCATTTGCCTATATTGAGTCTGAGCAAACTGAGACTTTTTGTTGGGTGCTAGATAAGCTTAAACAATTGTTTGTGAAGAAAGAGTTGTGTCCACAAGTGATTTTGACAGATAGAGATCTTACTTTGATGAAAGCCATTGAAATTGTGTTTCCAAGGTCGATCAATATGCTATGTCGATTTCATATTAACAAGAATGTTGGTGCAAAACGGAAACAATATGTGGCTAGTGACATGCAAAAGAAAATTGACGAGTTATGGACGGATGTTGTATGGGCTAGTGATGAGGTTGAGTATGATCAAAGGTTGAGCCAACTTGAGCAGGCGTGTGTTGATTGTAATGAATTTATTGATTATGTGAAGGATACATGATTGACACCACATAGACAAAGATTTGTTGGAGCATGGATTAATCGAGTGCTACATTTGGGTAACACTACGACTAATCGGTATGTATTTATTTTTAGTATTTATAAATTGTATTTTTTTTTATTTTTTTTAAAATATTTAAAATATGTATTAATTTTAGGGTTGAGTCTGCTTATTGGAAGTTAAAGCAAATGTTGGAGAACAATATTGGTGACATGGTCAAATGTTGGGAAGCTATGAATGACAACTTAAAGTTACAATTGAGTAATATTAGAGCTTCTTTTCAAAAGAGTTTTTATGAAGTTGAGCACGCCCACATAAGTCCATTTTACAATAATTTACGTGGTTCAGTGTCTCGAGAAGCATTGAGACGCATTGCTGAAGAGTTAAAACGAGTTGATTATGTTGGAACTAACACGGAAATATGTCGTTGTACTCTTAGAACAACCTACAGATTACCTTGTGCTTGTGATTTGACAGGATATAGAATTGATGGTTTACCGATACCAATAGATGTTGTGCATGTTCATTGGAGAAAACTAAGTATGGAAGTTAAGTTGGACGAAGATGTAGATGATGGATCAGAGGTGGATATGAGTAGTGCAATATATGAGTTATGGAAAAGGTTTAAGTCACTGGATGTTGTTGGGAAAAGGGCATTAAAATGTAGGGTTTTTGAACTTGCCTTCCCTACAATGACTTCTATGTGTCCACCACCTGAGAAAATAAAAACTAAAGGGGGAGTCAAGAAGAAAGACAAAAAACCAGTAGGATATGATGTTTATAGAGACCCTTCGTATCACGAGTATGTTGATCAAGCATCTCAATCTTCACAGAAGCAATCTCAACCATCACAAACTTCGAAGAAATTGAAATTATCACAGTCTTCACAAAAGCAATCTCAACCATCACATGCTTCGAAGAAGTTGAAATTATCACAATCTTCACAGTCATCTAAGCAGTTCATCCTTCAATTTCCTAATCACATCAGGTCATATATTGATGATGTAGTTAATGTTGTATCAGATGGTAATTGTGGATTCCGAGTCATTGCTTCATTGCATGGATATGGTGAAGATGGTTGGCCAATGGTTCGTCGAGACTTGGGGTTGGAAATAATACATAATGAAAGATCAAGTTTATATGTCAATTTATTTACTGATCAGTTAGCAGTAGTGAGAGAATCTTTGATGATATAGGAAGTTGGTCCTCAGCCACCACATAAATGATTAACTCTACCAGATATGGGTTACGTGATAGCGAATCGTTATAATGTTGTACTTGTCTGTTTAGGAATTGAATGATGGACTTTCTTCCATATGACATCTTCATTTTCACCGAATGTAGCAATTTACTGCATTGGTTTTGTAAACAGAAATCATTGGGTTCAGGTACTTAGTTGTTTTTAGATAATGTGATTAAACCTACTTCTTTTTCGTTATTTTTAGTTAATATTGTGAGTTACTTTTTTATTTAGGTAAACATGAAAGAAGGGTTTCCATTACCACCAGTGACAGTAGATTGGAAGAAGTTTCGTTCTCCAGCAGCAACATCTTGGATGATAGGATTTGCAGGACGTCTACAACATTGGCAACAACTTACGCCTATATTACTAACGCATTTTGAATTATAAATTATGTTACTCATTTTTAATTTTAAAACAAAAATCGTGAATTATGTTACTCGTTTTTAATTGCAAAATATGAATCGTGAATTATGTTACTCATTTTTAATTACAAAACATGAATCGTGAATTATGTTACTCGTTTTTAATTGCAAAACATGAATCGTGAATTACGTTACTCGTTTTTAATTGCAAAACATGAATCGTGAATTATATTAACACATAAACATAAACTAAATATGTCAAATTAGTCTAAAAGTTAACACATGAACATAAACCAATTAGGTCAAATCTGTCTAAAGGTTATCATATAATCATAAATATAAATAAAAGTCACTGTGATAGACCAAGATGTAAAGCTTCGAACAAATCAGCAAACTGTGGGTCATCCTCTTCAGCACCAGTCTGCTGAAGATAACGATGTATCAATGAAGACATACGAGCCACTATAGGATCAGATGGTCCTGCTTCATATACAGGAAATGGCATCTCTGTTGTCGCATCAACACTGAGCGGTACCAGACGAGGATGCGAAACACGATAATACCACTCAAGATACCCATCATTTGTCTCATATGGGGTGGTGGCCGGCGCTGTCGGACGAATCACATTCTGAACGCTCTCATGGTAACTAATCTAGTCAACATCAATATCACCCGCCGTTCGAGAATCAAGAGGTGGATGTGGAACATACTGCCTGTATCCAAACTGACGCAAACATCTGTCGGGCATGTATGGAACAATAATGTCACCCCACCTCAGACACCCCCTATAGAGGCATAACTCATCAAACTGACGCCATACTCTATGATTCTCGAATGGGCGCCATATGACATCAGCAGGTGTCAGCTCGTCCAGAATAGGCCGCAATTCATCCACCTTCAAGGTACCTTGTCTATATGACCATCTCATCGCTCGTGGGAGACCCACATTATTAGCTGGTATCCAGTTCTCTCCTCTTTTTCCAAGGGTGGGAAAATACTCATGAATCAGCACTGTTACAAAATGTAAAATAATTAATTATAACATAATAAATTAGATAAATAAAATTAATATACTAGATAAAATTAATTAAAACAAAATATACTAAATTAGAATAAATACCTGTAGGAGAGTCGGATAACCACCAAGCTGCTTACAGCTGAACATGGAAGCATCTCCGAGATATCGGTAAAGAGTAACCAACGCAGTTGCTGCCCAACTGTATCCTGATAAGCCATCCAAGCTATAAACAGTGACAGGTATCGTGCCTCGACAAGCGTAAACGTCTTGTCCGCAAAAATAGTGGAATCCACTAACATCAGCAAATAAGCTCTAGTCGCATAACCCCATCGAGATGCAGCTCTGTGCTCTACGAACCGATCATATAACCACTCCAGCTTATAGTAGGAACCCCTGCACTCACGGACTTGTTGCTGTGCTATTCTATGTGACACTCCCAAATAATGAACAGCCCACTCAACAGTAAGCGCTTCACTGATATCTGGAGGGTTCCAGAAAATTCCCCTGATGGGCAAGTGAAGCAGACAAGATACGTCATCTAGAGTAATCGTCATCTCACCAAACGACATGTGAAATGAAGATGTCTCTAGATGCCACCTCTCTGCAAAAGCGGAAACTAGGTTTGTGTCTATCTTTGTTAAACTAGTTCTCTGAAGTGAAGCTAGACCAGACCTAGATATCCAGTTCTCCATCTCTCTGGGTAACTGTAGTGGAACCCTCTGAGTCAACTTTACCCCATGTCCCGCCACCTTTAACTCTTTCTTCGACCCTCTCTCCTGAAAAAAAATTAAAAGTAAAAATATTATAAAATTCAATATTAAAAATTCGAATTCTATTCAATATTAAATAATTTTCGTTTACTTACCTCACCAAACCATATACGGTATGCAACATGTTGTTCGTATCTAACTAACAGAGACGTATCATACGGTCCTTCGGGATATCCAACCGGCTCGGATGCTGATGCATCAAAATGCTCTTCTTCAGCCATCCTCGATGACTCGCCCCGTCCTATTCCACGAGGGATCCTACCATCTCTGCCTCTTGTGCGCACCACTGGAAAAAAATTAATATAATTAAAAATTAAAAAAAAAAAATATAATTAGAAAAAAAATAACAAAAATTAAAAAATAAAAAAACAATGAACCGGAAGTCTTTCTTTGAAGACTTCCGGAGTTGAAACGCATCTTTAAGAGAACCGGATGTCTTTAGGAAAGACTTCCGGTGTGTAAACTAAATTCTTTTCTAAACCGGAAGTCTTCAAAGAAGAGTTCCGGTGAGCAACCTAAAAATTTTGTGTTCCGGAAGTCTTACTCTTAGTGTTCCGGTATGTAGTTCAATTGAAATGTGTTCCGGAAGTGTTTGGGAAAGAGTTCCGGTATGTATCAAAATTTGGAGAGTTCCGGAAGTCTCAAAATGGAAAGTGAGAAATGGAAGTGAAAAATGAAAAAAATGTAAGATTATAAATTTACTAAGGGTATTTTGGTCTAAATTTTTTGAGTGTAGGGGTGTAGGTATAAAGGTAGGGGTATAAGGTAAAACTTCCTGGAACACATTCCATCCAATACCACTATTTTGACCAATTTCTCATTCCCCAAATTGGGGTGTATCCAATGGAATATAATCAATTAATAAAACAATTACAATTTTATCCTCCAAATTTTCACTTTTATTATTAACCGTTCCTATTTCTTATTTCAATCAACGTGATATTTTACTTTTCTTCTTCAGAGGCCTTCTTCTTACTTGTAAAGAGTCTATCTTTCTTCAACCCTAACAAGGTACATCATATTTCTTCTCATTTTTTTTACCTGTATTTATATGATAAGAACAAAAGTAGAAATTAAATTTGTTGCAAAACTACTCTTCCAGTTGCTTTTCACTACTATTCACGTTGATTATATTCTTATTATGTATAGAGAAAAACTAAAATTAGTTACTGTAACATAAAATTGACTAATAATATTATGTAGTATAATAGGAAAATAATTATTAGTAACATAAGTTTTGATTTGCTATAAAGATTCTTAATTAATTTGGGATTGAAATTATATATTTGATTTGTTTTAAAAATTCTTAATTTATTTGTTCTGATTTTGATATGATTTATTTTATTTGTTATAAATATTTTAATTTGATTTATTTGTATATGAATTTATAATTAGAGTAAATTTTACTGTTTAATTTGTTATAGATGACTAACGAAGACATAAGAATCAAGTATATGAAATTGGTTCAAATGATGAAATTTTACTATCATTATTGTTCTAATATGTTCGCTAAAAAACAAGCGTAGAAGATCCCAAATACCTTATAGAATCACAGAGCAAAGAGAGAAAGTTAGAAATAAGTTGATGAAACATATTGTAGGAAGTGGGCGATGTTATGATATCATTCGTATGAGTCCCAAAGCTTTCTTAAACTTGTGCACCTTATTACAAGATCAAGGTGGACTTACACATATACGAAGAACGTCTATCGAAGAACAAGTAGCAAAATTTCTTCATATAGTAGGACATAATGTTAGAAACCGTGTGATGTCCTTCTTTTTTAAACGCTTCGGTGAAACTGTTAGTCGTCATTTTCATAGAGTGCTAGATGCTTTGATAAAGGTGGAGGGAAATTTTTTAAAATAAACTGATGGAACACAAGTGCCTCCGCAGATACTTAACAACCATAGATTCTACCCGTATTTTAAGGTAAAAAAAATTTTAAATTTTTTTTAAAACAATTGATTAGTTTTCTTGTAGATTTTTAATATATAAATTTAATGCCAGGAATGTATTGGAGCAATTGATTGCACGCATGTGCGTGTTAAAGTTCCAATAGAACTCGCACCTAGATACCGTGGTAGAAAAAATTATCCCACACAAAATGTGTTAGCTGCGTGCTCATTTGACTTGAAATTTATATATGTCTTGGTTGGATGGGAAGGAACTGCTTCTGACTCAAGAATAGTTAAGAATGCGTTGGCACGTGCACACCCTCTTAAAGTTCCACATGGTAATAAAAAGTAATAAAAAATATTTGTATAAGTATTTAGATTAGCTAAACTAATGGACTCATTATTTTTTTAAGGAAAATATTATCTGGGTGATGCGGGATTTCCTTTTAAAACATGTCTCATTACACCGTATAGGGGAGAACGATACCACTTACAAGAATACTCTAAAAATCCACCTCGAAACCCTCGTGAGTTATTCAACCATCGACATTCGTCATTACAAATGTTTATTGAATGTGCATTTGGAGTGTTGAAGAAAAGATTTCCAATTTTACAAACTGCAACAGAGCCTACATTTGGTATTAAAACTAAAAATAAAATCATCCTTGCTTGTTGCATTTTACACAACTATTTGATGGGTGAAGACTCCAATCAAACTCTAATTGATGAGGTGCAAGATGAGCTTGCAAACGAAAGAGATGTTCAAGAGGGTCATCAAGATCATAGAGAAGAAAACGATGATATGATTAGCGGAGAGCCAATTAGAGATAATGTTGCTGGTTCTATGCGGCTAGATTATTAAAATTATTCTTAATGATTTGTTACTCTTATGAATAATGTTTTGAAGAATTTTATTTGGATTGAATTTTTTATTTGTAATTTGTGGAATGAATTTTATTGTATGATGAACCTTTACATTTGAATTTGTGCATAAGTTATTATATTCTTCATTGTGTTTTTTAATAATAGACATGAAAGCAAGTTTAAAGAGACCGAGGAAACTCAAAAGTCTAGAAACATGCAATTGGACAACTGCTATGGATGAAGTTTTGCTTGATGCATATTTGCATCAACAAACATTAGGAAATAAAAATGGTAATAGTATGACAACAAGCGCTATGGATAGCATTCTTAAAGAATTGAAGACTCATTTTCCGGACAAACCAATTTCCAAAGAAAAAATAAAAGATCACGTGAAACACATCAAAACAAAGTTCAATTCTTGTTATGACCTTTTCTAGAATGGCTTGAGTTGGTTTGGATGGGATTCAACAACAAATATGTGGATTGCCGAAGATGAAGTTTGGAGCAAGCTAATTGAGGTATTATTTACTATAATTGTTGTATACACTTACCCGATTATTTTTATTTGAGTTCGCTCATTAAAAACTTTTTAAGTGATGCATTATTTCGTTTATTTTGGTGTAGGCAAAACCCGAAGCTGCTGAATTGAAAACAAGCCAATATTATTTTATGATAAATTGGCCAAACTTTTTGGAAAAGATCGAGCAACAGGAGAGCATGAAGGTGCAGCTGCTGAAATGAGAGCAAAAAAGGCTGCAAATGTTGAAAAAAGTCATGGCACAACCATCGAAGAAATAGACCACTTAGTTGAAACTAATGAAGTTATTTTGGAGGGACTTGATGATGATGAACATCATTCCAACAATTCTCCTACAAGGCATTCTATTACCAATTCTCGAGATGTATCATCATCTATGACTAAGAAGCGAGTAAAGAAGGTTATTGAAGATGATACAAGCATGATTGAGATTTCTAAAACTTTCAAAAAAATGGTTGATGTGTTTGAAATGAATTATATGAAGCTGATCAAACAGAGTAAAAATGCTAATGGTGGAGATATTTGGGCTGAATTGGTCGAGATTGGGGTTGAACCAAGTTCTTTGGCTCTTGTATACATGTACCTTGTTGAGAATGCCGATGCATTGAAAGCTTTTAATGGAATTTCAATCGATAAGCGGAAGAAAATGTTACATCTCATTGTTCTAGACTATCCATTTTGATAATGATAACTTATTTATTTATCACTTTTGAGTATTTTTTTTTATCTTTAACGAATGAAATATTTGCGTAATTTATTTTATTTTATTTTTGCAGGTTTTGTGAAATGTTTAAAGAAGAGAGTCATTATCTATTATAGATCAATATTTGTCTTTTTTATTAGCAAGACTTGATATCATTATCTACTATAGACATATATTTATCATTTAATTTTAGCAAAACTTGATTTTGTTTATGAATTACTATGAATATCCAGTATGATGTTGATCAAAACTTGTGCACTTGGTCTTTGCAATTTCAAGTTATAATAACCATGTTTCATTTATGAACATTTTAATTTATTACTGTATGTTTTAATTTCTTTCAAGTGCTAAGTTGATATTTTTCTATGATTACTTATATTATTTTAGTGTGAGAATGTTGGATATATCAATATTGTAGCAAAGGGTAAAAATGGAATTAAAAAGTTATAATGCTTTCTGCTCCGTCCAATTCCCAAACACTGGAATGAGATATTAGTTCCGCTCCATTGTAAAATATCCAAACAGTGGAATGAAGTTTATATTCCGTTCTGTTCCATTCCACTCCATCCTATTCTATTTCGTTCCGCTCCGCTCCGTTATTTTTAAATTATCCAAACATAGCCCAAAAGTAATTTCGACAAAACTTAAATTAACTTCATTTTTAAACTTTAAAAAGGACAACTAAAATGAAATATTCTCTCTCACAAAACCAAAAAACCGTCGCTTAATTAGTAGAGGAGGGAGTATAGTTACCACACATCCAATATATCCAAATCTCAATGCTAAAGGTTTGTTTTTGAACATTATGGAAAATCAAATAATAACCAGAATACAAAAACTTCTTTGGAGATCAAATACTAAAAAAGTAGGTTAGTTCAAATTATAATTGATAATTGCAAATTGTTCCTTTCGACGAGGACATTTTTTCTTTAAATGGTCAGGTTATGGTTGTCATCAGTCGAAATCCGACGCTCAAGTCAATGTTAATATAATGTTTTAAAAGAATTTATGTGTGTTGACGTTTGTGGTCCTTTTTATAAGGGTCTTATTAGGGTTTATATGAGCATTTACTTTTTACCTCCAATTAGGACCGTCCACGTCAATAGATGACAAGATATAATTCGTTCTGTTATTTAACAGTTCTGCCTTGACTTTCTGCTTTGATCAGATGTTTTATGGGACATGTCTATGCCTGTTTTCTAGGTCTTATAACCTTCTGCTCGATAATATATATTTACCTTCTGACGTCATTTTGGTCACAAGTATTTACGACTATCTTGAATCTTTTTCTCATTAGGTCACTTTTGAGGCCAAAATTGAGTAAGAATAGTTTCCCATAAGTGTCATATCCTAAATTTTACTCTGAGTTTTTCATTCGCATCCACAAGTGCAAACCATTCATTTTGTCATACATTCTTTCAGTCAAAATCATTCATCAAGGTTTAGATGAAAAGTCAGGAGTTCTGGCATTTTACCTGATCTTGATGACATTCATTCAGTCATGTATTGATTAAGAAGTCAAAAGGTTTGATTTTTTAAGTCTCAGTGCATCGTTCATTCAGCTGCATCTTGTTTCAGAGGTCTAGAGGGTGACAATCAAGAGTTTTGCCATCATCTAAATCTTTGTAGGTTTTAATTATAATGGATATTCAAAATTAAATGGTCCAAGGGCGATTTATTTGCATCTGATTGTTTATTCATAAGTATTTAGTCAGCAATTTAACGCATTTATAAGACATTTGCATTTTTAACTTATCACAACATGTATTATGCTTCGTGTAACGCTTAAAATAACAACCAGAATAATTTTTCGGATCTACAGACAGACCGGTCGAACCATTTTCCAATTGTACGTCGAATTAGCAGGAGAAAAAATTTAAAATTAAGCTTATAGACATCGACATTCTTAATTTACGTTTCGCGTAGTTTAACCTGACATGCTCGTTTTAATTTTTTGACTACTTTTTCTGTTGCATTTTTACCCGTATGAATCTTTTAATCGAGAATTTTATTCAACGCTGATTATTTTAATATATTCAGTTTAATTTTTTAGACACTTTTGCGTCCGATCTTTATTTATTTTTTATCCAATTATTTTTATTTTTTAGCCAAATTAATTAGTAAAATCATTTAAAATTATGTTTTTAATTTGAATTTATTTTGTGTTTTTTTGGTTTTACTTTAATTATTTAACTTTTGGTTTTTTCATTTTTATTTTATTTTAATATTTAAGTTTTATTTTTATTTTTAAAATTTTTAGAGAAGAAATTAAAATATCTTTCCCTTTACATTGACTTCCTCTCTCACGGACCACAAGGAAAGGAAGAGAAGCAGTGACATATATTCTATTGGGAAAGATCCTCTAACTTTAAGGATGAAAAGTTAGAGTGACTTTAGACAATATTTATATGATATAAAAGAGATGGAGATTTTAGTTTTGGAGAGAAAAATTAGTGAGAGAAAATAAATTAAGAGAGAGATAGAAAGAAAGTTAGGAAAAGGTAGAGAAATGGAAGTTAGAGGATCCATGGCCATATTTTATTATGTTAAATCGCCTCACTCACACTCATTATTCTTCTTCTTTTTTCCTTGATAAACAGACACAACAAGAAAAAACTCCCTCTGTCACCTTTTTAGCATGGTCTCTCATCACACTACAACATAAAATTCAAGACACACACCAAAGGGAAGATAGAAAAAATATCTCTCCCCTCTTACCTCACTACACAAACTGCCAACACAATACAAGCAGAAAATATCTTCAACTAAATATAACTTCATTCTCTCTTCCACTCTTCCACAACACAAGAAAAACTCAACATAATTTCATCTTAAAAAATCTCACTCTCTTTTGTTTTTCTCTATTTCAACAACATCTTCACCATCTATTATTCCTCACATCACACCATCCATACAACTTCGTCACCGTCAACTTTCTCTAACTCACCATCTTCATCATCAAGCTTACTACTCATCACCATAACCAACACATAAAACCAAACCTTCAAAGCACAACATCCTTCATCAAAACCACTCGTCATCATCTTCATTATCAAAATATCAACCTCAAAATCCGACTACCACTATTGTCGGAAATATTAGGGGAAAATTTTCACTAGGCAGCATTGAACATTGTGTGACTTTCCTTTCTCGAGCAAGACCTTTGTGAGAGACACACCACATACTCACCCAAAACCTTAAGGTGATAGGTGTGTGAGTTCTCTCACTTATAAATGCTCAAGTCACCATATTCCTATTCAATGTGAGACTATAATCCACACTACTCACACTTGTTATACTTAACACTCTCCCTCCCTTAAGTGTGAGTTTATCCATAGTAATCCACACTACTCACACTTGTTATACTTAACACTCTCCCTCCCTTAAGTGTGAGTTTATCCATAGTGTTTTCACAATGCTCCCCCTTAAGCAGAAGCTTCAACTGTGCAACTGCACTTTCTGTTGTGTGTTTCTTGCTCACCATCTTTGTACTGCCGTTGACACTCTTCAACGGGACACCTCCTAACCACCACCTTTGGGGAGTACTTTCGATACAAGTGAGACGATCCTTCACTCGAACCAGACTCTGATACCACTGTGAGAAAGTTTTTTTTTCTCTAGGGAGCATTGAACATTGTAGAACTTTTCTTTCTAGAGCAACATCTTTGTGAGAAACACACCACATATTCACCCAAAACCTTAAGGTGATCGGTGTGTGGATTCTCTCACTTATAAATGCTCAAGTCACCACATTCTTATCCAATGTGATACTATTATTCACACTACTCACACCTGTTATACTTAACAAAAAAAACAACACACGCAAGCCACCACCACCCACATGCGTCTGCAGCACTAATGTTCAACACCACAACAAAACATCTAACAACCTCAACGTTACACCACTCACAACCATCGCTGGACTCCACCTCATTCCGGTAGTAACTCTTCTTCCTCTCTTTCCGTTATGGTTTGCTTTGCATTCTTTCATTTAAGTTGTTGTTGGATGTTTGGAATCATATTATTTTATTTCATTTGAACTTTGATTTGTTAAAGTGATGTTGTTTGATTGATTTGAGAAGAAGAGGTTTGGAGATGTTGTTACATGAGTAAAAGAGAGGTAAAGTGGAGGATGAAAAAAAGACTTTAGTTTTTTTTCTTTTTAAAAAAGGGGGTATGTTATTCTTGCTGTAAAATGGGTGCAGAGAGAAATAGAGGACGGTGTTGAGAAGAAGAGGAAATGATTTCAAAAAATTTATCCACGTGTCCGATGGCAAGTAGGGTTGTTCAATTACTATTACTATTACTATTATTAAATTTAATAAGTGGGGGCAAGGCGGGACATGTACTAGCATCAGGTTTTCTCCGCACCGGCTTCGAATTAAATCGGGTTTTTCCGGTTAATTTTGAGATAGGGCGGGCAGGACTGGGCGGGGGCGGATTTATTTGTCATGCCTACGACAAACTTGGACACTACATTGAGGTGTGTTTCAAGAAACATGCATACCACCATATCTAAAGAGGCATACATTTGCAAACATCTACACTTATGACATTACTCCCTAAGGTTCAAATGCATATCAACTTGAAGGTGCTACCGAGAATACAGATTTTACTCCATATCAGTAGAAGGCTTGTTAGATCTCCTGCAACAAAATTCAACTACTCCAACTTCCAACATTCATCACATCAATTCCTCATCCATCTCACCTTCAGGTAACCCTGCAATTTTCAATACTATTAATAATTTGTATGATAATGTTTAGATTTTAGACACCGGAGCCACAAATCATGTGTGTCACTTCAGGACACTGAAGTCAAACCCATAAACATCAGGATCTCTATTGGAGCCACTATTACCACCAATTTTTATGGCACAAAACACTTTAATTATCAATTTTATACATTCCTGATTTTGAAGGTGAGAAAAAGTACACAAGAAGGGGGGTTGAATTATGTTTATCGTTTTCTTAATTTAT